TGTTTAAATAATACCACAAGATTGTTTCAAAACATTGTAATCAAAAACATTTTAGATTAGTTTTTGACTAAGAAATGACTAAGCAACTCTCTCAAATAGAAAGAAGGAAAATCAAGAAGCCACGAGTCTCCCTTTTGTGGTAGAGCTATTGCAAAGGCCTGGCACGCTATGTGCTGGGGTGTGTTCCAGGCAGACAAACAGGGCGTTGTGACTGGTGCCAATGACATTCTTCGGGAGGATTCTTCGGTCTGAGTGATTCATTTCTACCTAGGCTCTCCAAAACATTGCAGTTATCAAAGCTTAATAAACATATGTAGTCTTCTGGTGTGTCTTTCTGCTTTCTCCCTTCAAAATGTCAGACAATGTTGTATATTAGAATACTGAAAATAGCTATTTTTAATTTCTAAGCCTGTCACTAAAATAATTTAGGGCCTCTGGGATGAAATTTTTTAGGCCTTTCCCTAAACCATAAATAAAAAATTGGCCAGTTTCTCAGAGTAAAGCTGGTAATTTTAGATTCTTTCTTTCTCTTTTAAGTAAGGTCTCATGTAGCCCATACTGTCCTCACGTAGTCAAGGATGACCTTGAACTCCTGATCCTCCTGCCTCTGTCCTACCCCCACAAACAAGTGCGAGGATTATAGATGTATGCCATTGCTCCCAGCTTAATCTTGAAAAGTTTTAATTCTTCATTTTGTTTGAACTATAACAAGCAACTCCAAATTCCAGAAGCGCAAACAAAGCAAATAATTCATTCTGTTAATTATAACTGAGGGCTTCTTTTCTCCCTCACTTGTTAGGTTTGTATTGATCTACTAGGAATTTTGTGCCTCTCAATTCAGTATTAGTATCTGAACAGAGTGCAAAGGTATATTTTAAAGGATGGTTTTAAGATGTAAAAACATATATGTGTGCCAGTCCCTGAAGAGGACGTAGGATCCCATGGAGCTGGAGTTACCAGCTGTTGTGAACTGCCTGAAGTGAGCGGTGGGCACTGAACCAGGTGCCCTTACCTCCGAGCCATCTCTCCGGCACTTACAAATCTAGCTTGACTTGATTCCAAACTGTCAGTTTTCATCAGCGTTTGAGCAGCCGTCCTCCAAGTCACAGGAGGTTGACACTGCAAATCTTCCTTAAAATCTCAAAAGGATTCAAGCAGAATTCAAGAGATGTTACAGGCATGGAAATCAGAGAAAAGTATCTCGAACTTTTGCTCACAATAAACAGTGTGCTTTTCCAGCTGCAGAAGCTGGGGTGTGGGGTGGACTAGACAGCACCCCTCAGGACTGGAGTGGATCCGTGAGGGTTTCTGCTTCATTGCAAGGCAGGGCTTCTGTCGTTCACAAAGGAATGGAGTGCACAAATTAAGATCTGTCTTAGGACACACCTGTAATCCCAGCATTCACAAGACAGAAGTAGGGGTTTGATGACAGCCAGGACTACCCAGAAAAAAAAAAAAACCTGTCTCAGGAACAAACTGAATCAACAACAGAAACAAGCTATGAAAGGTGAATGAAAATTGCTGTAGCTAAGAGCAAGGAGGTCTTTCAGAGTGGGTAAGTGGAGGTTCTTATGGAGAACGTAGCTCGTGAGCAGTTTCCTTACCCACACCAGCGGACTTTCACAAGGCCTGGCCCAAGCCAGCTTGTGTGCCTGGGGAGCAGCATGGGAGCTGGAGGCTCCTCTCCGGGACCGTGAAGTCACTCCTGACATAGCATACAAGCACAGCAGGCAGAGTTTAAACCAGGAACAGCCACTTCAGTCCTAACTGAGTCAGACCTCCTTAAAACTGCGGAGGGAACTGGGCAAGCACCCAAGAGTCGGAAAAAGTTAAAGAACTAAAGAGCTGAGTGCCATAGACTTGTATGGTACAGCACGCCCTCATTACATGTTCAATTTAATGTACGTTTCCGAATATTTTCATCAACCAAAACTTTACTTCAAAAGATATAATCTGAGCTGGGTGGTAGCGCACGCCTTTAAATCCCAGCACTTGGGAGGCAGAGGCAGGAGGATCTGTATAAATTTGAGTCCAGCCTGGTCTGTAGAGCAAGTTCTAGATAGCCAGGGTTACACAGCAAAACCCTGTCTTGAAAAAAAAAAAATAAGAAGAAGAAGAAGGAAAAAAGCATCGTTTGTATTATCTTCATAAATGTGAATTTAATACTGACTGGTAGTTTTAAATGTCAAGTAACACTTTCTTCACGTGTAGACACAGGCAACATGGAGGTACTGCACCTGTACGGCAGCGAGCAACAGAAGCAGCAGTGGCTGGAGCCCCTTCTTCGTGGAGATATCACCTCTGCATTCTGCATGACAGGTAAGAGCAAGTCCCGGCCCCGTCTCCTGTCACCGTCATCCTGGGGTTATCGTGGGTGGATCACCTGAACAGTGTGGGGTGTAGCCAACTTTGCCCACGGCCTGAATGTGTTGGTTTGGAGCCTGGTTTGAAATGCTGGCATCCTTGAATGCTCAGGATAGATGCCCCTGTTCTTTGGGGTGGCTCCAGATGCATTCGGGGAGTCTGCTTCAGCATCAGCAGCGGGGTGATGGCTTCTAAATTGTGCTGCTTCGACAACTGCTGCCCACGGATATTCATCCTTGTGATATTTCTATGACTGTAAACTACTCAGCTATTCCATAATCCTAGAAAGCCAGAACGCAAACCGATGGGCATATCGCTGAAAGCACGGAGTAGGGATACAATGATGACAATGGTGTTGGTACACTTGCATATTGGAAACAGGAATTTAACCTCCTTTAAAGACAAAAATCACATCTCAACTTGAGTTTAGAAATAAGTTCAATTTGATTTGGTCATAATGTGAAGTTCATAGTGACCTTTCACTCATGACCAACTTATTTATTTATTTATTTTGGTTTTGATTTTTCAAGACAGGATTTCTCCCTGGCTGTCCTGGAACTCACTTTGTAGACTAGGTTGGTTCAAACTCCGAGATCCACCTGCCTCTTCCTCTTGAGCCCTGGGGTTAAAAACATACACCTCCACCACCCACTAGATTTGATTATTTTTTATATAATATACAAATATTATACACACATATATAACTGTTTATATAATAACAAAAGTTCTTTCTACTTAATTCATCAAGCGGTGTTTATTGAACGCCTACAGAATGGTTTGATGACATAGTGTTTCCACAACACCAGCCTCAGGCCACAAAATAAGCTCGCCTTCCCTTCTCTGAAACCAGCTTCTGGAGCTTGAAAAAGAATCTGGTGAAGCATCCCAAGGACTCAGTGAAGAGAGCAGAAAAGGGGCGGGGACACGGCTCAGTCTGTAAAGTGTTTGCCACACAAGCATGTGGACCCGAGTTCCACTCCCAGGATCCTCATAGATGTCACATCTAATCTTACACAAGTGTAAGCACAGCACTGGGGTTGGTTACAGGAAGATCCCTGCGGCTCCCTGGCCAGCCAGGCTAACCAGTCACCACCGAGTACCGGGATTATACCAGGCCAAGCCAAAGAGAGCCAGAGGAAGAATGACAACCGAAGTTGTCTGGTCTCCATATACACACATGTTCCAGCGTGTGAGCACATATACACATATAAACATACAAAATAAAAACAAGGACAATCCAGAAGCAAGGTTAAAGCTGATTGGTCCCTATATGCCATGCAGTGAAGAGAATTTAAGGATATTTGCAGGTATTGCACAGAGAGCGTTCTGGAGACCTGAGTGTGGAGAAGATCTGGATGTCACTGGCAGATACATTCCCAGTAGCACCTTCAAGGCACAAGTGGAAGTTGTTAGTGAGAGTAGAGAAAACCAGCCTGCCCTCAGTTAAAGCAGATTCCCACTGGGGAAAGTCAAAGGCAGTATTATCTGGTTTTGGTGACTGGGAAAATGCTGAGTGAGTTGTATATGGACTCAGACATCAGCAAAGCCTCCAAGGACACAGTTGTCAGTACTAATCCCTCTGTCTTCCAATTCATAGTTATCGAATGCTTACAGTGTGTCATTAAGAAAGGACCAAGTAGAAAGGGGTAAAGTGGAAAGATTTAAAAAATACAATAAAAACCCAAGGTGCCTCTGTCCTTGACAAGCTCGCCTTCTCTCGCCCAAGCCTCTCTGGCTAAAGACTGATTTCCGCCTGCCTGTTGATCAAGCTGTTCTTCCTTTCTAGAGCCCAATGTCTCATCAAGCGATGCCACGAACATTGAGTGTAGCATCCAGCGAGATGGTGATGGCTATATAGTGAACGGCCAGAAGTGGTGGAGCAGCGGTGAGTGTTCTCCGTGGTTCTGCTAGCCCTTTGCCAGAGCAATGCCACGATTCCCGGTCACTGCTTTGCGGTCACAGCTTTAAATCAGCCTCTGAAACATTATCAGACTTAGAAACAGTACCAAGAGAAAAGGTAATTTGATAAGTTGTAGAGTCTAGGGTGTAGTTCAGTGTCGCTGGACACAAGCTGAGCATGTGTTTGGGGTTCATTCGTAAGTGTCAGTAAAACAGTAAATGTATTGATTTTATTGCCTAAAATATGCATGGTTAAATGAAAATTAAGCTTTATATATAGGATAGTATATTTGCTCATTAGTTCTTAGTAACAGGCCAACATACATGGGGAAATTCTTTAGGAACTTATAAAATTAGACTCTAGATAACTATGGTTTTTAAGGCTTGCTTCTAGAATGTGCCTAGTGAACCCAGAATGTATTTGGATGATTTTCTTTGATGACGTCACCAAAGCAAATTGCATTTATAGGCACTTACCAGAATGTGTGAACATCTCAGGAAAGTTTATGGGTTTGGCCTTCTTTTAAAGGTTGGGATAATTGCCATTCTATATTTTATAAAATCGCTTATAAATTATGAAGCAAAAAAATTAGAGTAAGTTTTGTTGCAATTATTTAAATATTGGAATTTTGCAGAAAAATATTCTTATTAAAATTTAAATAATTACAAATACTTATAATTTCCTCACCATAAGTTTCTTTATTAATTGGTTTTAGATCACCTGACTCAGAGCATGATGGGATTTTTTAACTTTTTATTTTAAAGTTGCTGTCTACTCAAAGGAAGTTACAAAATAGTACAAGATGGTCTTGGGGGCTCTTTACCTAGTGCCTTATCACACGGGATGGTCCGGATAACCCTTACACAGTGACTTATCATACAGGATGGTCCCAGATAACCGTTACCCATGATTTATCACACAGGATGGTCCCAGATAACCGTTTCCCATGATTTATCACACGGGATGGTCCGGATAACCCTTACACAGTGACTTATCATACAGGATGGTCCCAGATAACCGTTACCCGTGATTTATCACACAGGATGGTCCCAGATAACCCTTACTCATGACTTATCACACAGGATGGTCCCGGATAACCCTTACACAGTGACTTACCACATGAGATGGTCTTGGATGCTCATTTAGCCAATGTTTTATATTTCATAATTACAGTTGCTATCAAAAGTAGGCCGTTGAAATTCCTATGTGGCACATCTGGATTTGAGCAGCCACCACTGTAGTCAAGATGCAAACACCCCACCGCCATAGGCTTCGTCTTTAGAGTAGGGCGTTTTTCTCCTCCCCACCATGCTGTTTTCCTGCAGTAACTTTAATTTCCAGGTTCTGCCCGTTTGTTGTTTACTTTCTGGTGTCTGTCTTTGCCACACCCCCACCCTTTGCTCCTTCTTTGTTATACATTGCAACAACAGTCTAGTTTTGGACATTTGAGTCTCAGTGTAACACAAATATTTTATTTGAGTAAGAAACCTCACGTACGTGTGTGTGTGTGTGTGTGTATGTGTGTCCAAGCAAAAAGCAGAGAGAATTTTATATTTAAATGCTAAAAGAACTGGTTGGATCTGTAGGAGCCTCGGAATCAAAAGGAATTTCCTCTGCGTTCTGTCTTTGTCTTCTCCAGGATCCATATTTCTTGGCCACTTTCATGATATAGTTTTTGAAGGAGGCCCCCATGAAGACATACAGGACAGGGTTGAGGCAGCTGTGGAAGAGCGCGATGCTCTCTGTGACTTGGATGGCGACATCCATGCGCTTGCTCATGTCACAGTTGGTGATCAGCAAGTAGATGGCATCTATGGCTTGGCAGAACTTGACAATGTTGTAAGGCAGCTGGGTGACAATGAAAACTACAACCACCGTGAGCAGAACCTTGAGGGGGCGAGACTTTTTAATATTCGGCATCTTGACGAGCGTCCTTGCAGTGATGGCGTAGCACACCCCCATGATAAGAAAGGGAACCACAAAGCCGATGCAGATTTCCAGCATCTGAATGGATGCCTTCAGAGATGTTCCCAGATGGTGGGGGAAGATGGGAGTGCACCTGGCATTGTGATTCACGGTATAAAAAACCAGCTGGGGTATACTCAGCAAGGTAGCAGCCACCCACACACAGCCACATATGATCCAGCAGGGTCTCCCTGCTCCTGATTGGCTGGGGGCCTTAGTGATTGCCCAGTATCTGTCAATGCTGATACAAGCCAGGAACTGCATCCCAGAGACGAAGTTTACCGTGTACAGGGCCGAAGTTACTTTGCACATCATTTTCCCTAGAATCCACCCGTGGACTGCGTTAACTGCCCAGAAGGGCAGTGTCACCAGAAGCAACAAGTCTGCCACAGCCAGATTCAGGATGTACACATCTGTCTTGGTCCTCTGTTTCTTGTAATAGGCGTAAATTGCCACAACTGTAGAATTCCCTGCCAGTCCGATGACAAAGGCTATCGCAAAGAAGGCAGGGAGGAAGACTTTTGCAAACTGCCTGACCTCTTCTTTTATGCAGATGGTTTCATACTGGCTGTAGTCGTAGGTGTCATTCATTTCGTTTCCCTCGTAATAGTATTCTGTTGGCTGGCTCTGCTCTAGAGCCATGGCACCGAGCTGGATGGCAGGAAGAACACAAGACACTCACTTGAGCGTTGCTTAAAAGGAAGCAGCTTTACCCAGCATATGGTTTGTGTTTTCTCTAGAGAATAGCTGGTGGCTATCACGTGTGTGAGCCTGGATCTCATGCTGAAAACTTTAATGGGACCCACATTGAGCCAGATCCCCCATCCTTTGTTCTTACACGTCTGTGTGCAGGAACTGGCATTTGTCCATGGCCAACAGACAATATCCTAAGGGATTCCCTTAGTTATTACTAAATCCTAGATAAAGTTGAAGACTTTTAAGTAAATATAGTAAATATAAGTTGTTTAGTTTTGTGAGATTTTTTTTGTATGCGCTTGTATGTGTGGTCTGCGTGCATGTGGGTGGGTGTGAGGGCACATGTATGTGCATGTATCTACAGGTTGGAGTTGGCATTAGGAGTCATTACATTACTCTCTACCTACTTCTTGAGGCAGAGGTTAGACCCAGAACTGACCAGCAGAGCTGTTCTGATAGCCGGCTTGGTCCACACATCCTTCCTCTAGCTTCTGAGCGCTGGAACTGTAGGCGGGCTGCAAGCCCACGCCTCATTTTCATACGTGCTAGGGACCCAGACTCGAGTCCGCACGCTTGGACAGCAAGCATTTTAACCACAGGGCCATCTACCCAGTCTGGTTTTTCTTTGTTTTTTGTTGTTTGAGTTAGGGTTTCTCTGCTTTAAAGTCCTAGCTGTCCTGGAACTAGTTCTTTTTTTTTTTTTTTTTTTTTTTTGGAACTAGTTCTTATAGACCAGACTCAGTCTGGTTTTTATAATAGAAAATTTCATCAAAGAACAGAAGAAATGTTGTAATTTTTACAAATAACTTGTCTTGTGGAGTTAGCTATAATAAATTAAAATAAGTTAAGTTGTCTTGCTTGAAAAAAGGAATGTTTTAATTTTTATTCTACTGTGACTATAAATTTAAATAAATTAACTTGGCATTTGTAGAGCATTAATATGGACTTTTCTACAGGAAAACCTCATTTAGTCAGCTTGCCTCCCACGCCTGTAACTACTTGTGTCCCTTGATCCCTCTTGTGTCCCCTGGTCCCTCTCATGTCCCCTGGTCCCTCTCATGTCCCCTGGTCCCTCTCATGTCCCCTGGTCCCTCTCATGTCCCCTGGTTCCTCTTGTGTCCCCGGTCTTTTGAAGCTGAAAATTGGCACTGTCCTGGACTTCTTGCTTACCTAGATCCCCTTGTTTCCAGTTAGTCTATAAGCTTGTTCATTCTTGTTTGCTTGCTTTATTTTGATTTCTTTCCCCTGAGATAGAATCTCACTCTGTAGCCCAAGTTAGCAATCCTCCTGCCTCAACTTCCCCATTACTGGGATTATAGGTGTGAGCCACCACACCTAGTTTGCATGTTCAGATTTTACCTTGCAAATGGGTCTCAGGTCTTCCTGCCCTTGCGGTCTTTAGACTTGTGCCATCTGCCCACTGTGGCCTTCTGACTGTATGCACACACACACACGCACACACACACTCACACACTGCACTGTCTTCCTAGCTGGAATCTGACTGTTCTTCATCTTTCTCACCAACCTTCCTGTGAAAACCATTCTTACTGCCTGTCGGTATTGTACCTCTGACTTGCCAGTCAATGCCCCCTCATCTAGCTCTGCACCCGAAAGCACCTCCGTTCCTGAGAAAGAGACAGCACAGGATCCACAGAGTGGACTCCAAGGCTCCCTCCTGCCTCCTCTTCCCTCCCTGTCCCCACACAGTAGACAGGAGTGTGCTCCGTTGCCAGCTGTTGGCAGACACAGGCTGCTCTGATGTGCATCGCCATCGTTCCCGCCTGCCCTTTACCAGCTCCATTTTCTGCCTTCCCTCTAAGAGTAAGTTAGCTCGGGTTTCCTCCCCAGAAGATTCACCCTCGATCAAGGATGTGACTCCACCCTGTGGAGAAAATGTATTTCCCAGCTCTAAGTTCTCTGCAGTCTGAGCAGTTTGATTTCTGGTTGTGACTGAAGCATTTATTACATACCAGGCACACGCTAGCTGCTCACTAAATACTGTCAGGTCCTGACACAACACAACATAACATACGGAATGGATGTCGGGTGTGTTAGGGGTCTCCTGTCTCAAACTCAGGAATCACGCGCTGGCCAATAGCGCTGCAGTGTATCAAGAAAAGCTTGCACTGAATTCACAAATATTACTATGAATATTACAATGACTTTCATTGTTTTTTATTGCCTTTTCTTTCTTAGCTTCTCTATCTTGATTGGCCATTTTTGTCCTTCAAAGAATCCCAGGTCTTACAGAATCACTCATGAAAACAGCATTTTCAAAGCAGTACAGGAAAGAACGTGAAGTTTCTAAAGAGGTCTTTAACTTGCTAACTCTTCTTTGGATGAATAATGTAAAGGTGCCCCTTAGGGAAGGTGCTCCCTGAGGCAGGTGCTGCTGAGGGGTTTTCTTTCTCATGCAGAAAGCAAGCAGCAACAGTCTGCAGTGGCTACTTTGTCATAAAGGCGGTGCAGAAGCTGCGCTGGCAGCCTCCTGGAGCCTCCACGGTTTCTGCGTTAATTATTAACACAATATGACTTGGTTCTGTCCTCTCTGCTATCACAGAAATCTAGAACTTGGTGACAAAGAACAAGAGAACCAAAGAAAATATAGGGTGAATATGTGAAAGTATGACTTTTCCAGCAGTATAAGAAAATCAGAATAGGAATAGAGATTATTTGCAAAAATTACCCTTCTGCAGATAAATAGGAAGACTTTCAACTGTTTTTTAAATTATTTTCAAAACAAAAAAAATATTTATTATAAAGAGAAGGAAGAAATGATCTGGTAAACTCTATTAGCTCCCTGACAAACCAGCAATGGTCTTGAAAATAATTTATTCTTCTTGATATATTCATATTTTCACTTCAAGGTTAAAGTGTAGAGATGTTCTTAAATAGCTTTTTTTGGCCCATGTAAATGTTTAAACTCTCATGCACCAAGCCCCCATCCCTCACTAAAATAAAAATGCAAAATCTTTGGGCTTAAAAAAATTTTTTAAAAATGCATATTTAGGTCAAAAGGAGAAAAAGAAAGAAGGAACCAACCTGTTTGAGCTGGGAGTCTGCAGTCTTGAGTGAGGAGGAGAGCGAAGGACCTCTGACTCACAGGACTCTTGTTTTCCCTTTTTACACCCCGCCTTTATCTCGGATCCAAGAGGGCTTTCCTGAAATTTAACCTCTGGAGCACTTGATTAAGTACTCTGTAAAGCCTTCCTGTGGAGTCCAGCCAAATTCTTAAATGTCTGGATACAGACGGAAGGAATTCCAGCTTGGCTCCCGAACTGCAGGATTGTCGGGTCCCACTGAGCTGTGGGGAAGAAGAAAGTGCATGTAGCTAGCTCGCCAGCTCCTGCTCAGCCAAGAGGGGGACACTGAGAGCCGCACCTCGAGGCCACGGGCGGGCGCTGCTGGGGAAAGCTACAGAAACACTTGAGAAAGTTACTTTGTCTAACAGAGGTAACTGAAATGATTTAAAGCCCGAAAGTTATCCTTTTGAAACCCAAATTATGTAAGATTAAGTTCCAGGCAGTCCCAGCAGAACTTACTGTTTCCCTTCAGCGGGAGTGCGTGCTTTGTCTACTTCTGCAGTAGGCTCACTGTGGTGTTCTCTCCGGGGTTCAAAGTGTGACTCTCGTGGTGGCTTTCTCTTGTTTTTCTTAGAACCTTTTCATCAAGGGCCAAATACAAGCCTTCAGAAATCCTCTGTGTGGAGAGGCTGTTTTCCCAAGCTTACCTAGCAAATGCACGTTAGACAAGGAACCGGTGCGTGTAGGATTGTCCTCCTGCCCTGTTTGACCTCCGCTCACTTCACATTTGCATAGCGTTGCCTCATTTTCTCCTGCACAGCCAGCCCAAGAACCCACCTGCGGAACTTATTTTAGACCCAGGCCCTTTTTGTCCTCTCAGTGTTACAGCTTCCGTGTTGATTCATGCAAAAAGAGACTATCTGCCTTCATCCTATTTCTCCCAGTATATGTCCTGGGGTCAAGGTAGACCTCCTACCCTGCTACCTCTCTTTGGGGAAGCATCATTTGCATGCAGCAGAACCAGCTTACCACTAATTCGTGCCGTTTGCCACTTTCCATGGTGTAAGCATTCAACCATAGCCAGTCTTAAGAACCAAAGTAAAGCTACCGAATGAGAAGTCACTAGCAGAGGCACGTAATCAGCGCTTCTGAGCAGGTGCTAGCACCCTTTGTTCTCTTTGTCAATGCTTGTGGGTGGTTTTGCCCGCCTGTATGTCTGTGCACCACATTCCTGCAGTCAGGTCTGCCGGAACTGGAGTTACAATTGTGAGCTGCCATGTGGGTGCTGGGAATTGAACCCTGGACCTCTAGAAGAGCAGCTAGTGTTCCCAACTGCTGAGCCATCTCCTCAGGCCCAACTAGTACTGTTTTACTGGGGAGATGGAAGCACATCCATGAATAGGCAAAGACAATGTACACTTGGGAAGGTAGCTCAGCTGGTAGGTACGAGCCGAGCATGGCAGAAAGCCCTGCCTCGGTTCTCGGTCCCATGTAAGCAAGGTATCCTGACTTACATCTGTAATCCCATCTCAGGAGCCTGAGATCAGACTGGCCGGGGCTATACAAGCTTTGACTAAAAAGAGAGAGGGAGGGTGAGGGAGGGGAAGAGGGTGGAAGAAAAATATATGATAGGCATATACATGTGCACAGTGGACTTCAGTGCTGCCATGAAGAACAAAAGTCTGTCATTTTTAGGGAACTGAATACAGTTATGATCATTTCAAACAAAATAAGCTAGACCTAGAAATATATATATGTATATATATATATGTATATATATATATATATATCCTCTTATTTATGAAAGCTAAAAGTCAAAGGGGGCTAATTGGAAAGAGGAAGGGAAAGGGGAAAAGAGTAAAGGAAAATGGGGGTGTGTGGTTAAATACACAATAGACTTGGATAAAGATGGCGTCACACAACCTGTTCACTTTGTAAAATGTACATACCTGATCTTTTAAAGTGTTCTTTCCCACGGCTGGTCATTCTTCTAATCTCTCACCTCCTTCAAGAGGACTCTGCCTTTCTTGCTCCCCTGCCTGGCCTAGTGTGCCTGGCCTCTCTTCCCTTTCCTCTAATCTTGTCCTTCTGTATACCAGGGATAGAGAAAGTAGGCATCCAGCCCTCCATGCAGTTAGCAGTGGCTTACGATACCCCTCAGGTTTGCCTTTTCCAGCCCTTCACGCCCCTCACCTCATCCCAAACTGCTCACTCCTTTGCCTGCCGTGTCTCTCTCCTGGCTGTTACCGGGCACGGTTCTAAGGAGATCTCCGTACTGTCTCTCCAATCCGTCTACATGTGCCTTCTCTCAGTATCTGCAAGGCTCACGCCGTCGTCCTTAGCTCCCTTTCTTCTACAGTCCAGGACCATCTGACCAGGGAATAGTGCTGCCCATCGGGGGCCAGACCTTCCTGTATCCATTAGCAACCAAGACAATCTCCCAGAGACATGCCCACCTGCTTGTTTTAAGCTGATCTTGGAAATCTTTCAATGAGTTCCTTCTCATATGACTCCAAGTGACAGTTAAAGCTGACAAGGATGCTCTCATCGACTTCACGGCCCACTCTTAGGACTGTGTGATAGTTCCTGTCTTCCACAGCTGTCCTGTCCATTGTGTTTCTCCAGCATTTATGTTGTTATCTTAGTCATGATGCCAGCCTGTCAGATAATAAACATATGGATCAATGTATCCGTCAGTTTATGCAGCATCCTCCTTAGGGGTAGTTTGATACCAGGATTAAAGTTCTTCCTTCACATATGCAATGTTAGACTTTCCCGTTTTACCATTTCTGGCACATTTCTGGTATTCCACGATGCTACCTGTTATGTAATCCTAATATTGCTTTATGTATGTGGGAATATATCCCCTCCTTTTTCTTGTTTATCCTACCTTAAGAAACTACATATTTTCTGATCAATTGGATTCTTATCTTGTGAACCAGCTGTAAGTTTATAATAATCTGTTCAGCTTTTGAATAAAAAAAAAATCATTTTCTTCAAGCGTGAGTCCTCAGGACATGAAGGGTGCCAGGACTGAGCTGGTACTTCTGGCATGGTGCCCTGGGCTCCGCCTCCTTTGAGTCATGGTTAATAGACCCTTGGCTATGCCGTGCTTTCAGTTCTCCAGATACAGCTGGGGCTGGTGGTAACGGGAAATTTGATAAACTATGAAAGGCAGCTGGGTGTGGTGGCTCAGGTTTGTAATCCCAGCTCTCTGGATGCTGGGACGAGAGGATCACAGTTCAAAACCCACCTAGGCTAGACAGCAAAGCCTGACTCAAGCCAAACAGCAGATAAATAAATTAAATACATAAATAAAGAAGGAAGGAAAAGCTGGTAGTCACATGAACTGAGGACAGAGCAAACGAGGGCGACTTTCAGAGCACTCGATGCGTATTCTGTTGGTTTTTCCCCCTTTAGCCTCTCTTCCATTTCTTCTCAGAATCTTTATGATTCTCGTTTTCTTCAAGTGGACTGTAAAAAGTTATCTCCTGTCTTAACATAGTAGTGCCTTTGGGTTCCCCAAAATGTCTGTCTGCATCCATTTCTGGCTCTCCTGCTGGTGGTACCACTTTGCCTGCTGATCGGTGTTTGACTGAACTACATGCTACCTTGTCACCTAGAACACCACTGGTGCTGGGCTGTGCACTGAGCATTGCTGAGACAACCTCAGCTCTTCTTTTCTAGCGCCCATATTACATGTTTAATTCATATTATAGGCATTTTTAATGTCCCGTTTTTGCTTAAGCTCACCATCAATGAGCTTCAGCAGAAGTAATAGTTTCTTGCGTGTATTACCATAATTTGCTTTATTATTTCTTTAAGAATCTTGCATTTTTTTAGTGTTATAAATCACATCTGCAGAGTGGTATCTTTGTAGATAGAGTGATGAAATGAACTTAATCATAGGAATTTGAAGACTGTAATGAGGTGCATTAGCCTCTTGTCTTTTATGCCAAAGAGAGTGTCAGCATGATTCGCTTGTATTCGTGATCTTGAATCCTTCCACGTTGGTGTGTAGAAAGCTCCCACATCCCGTTAGAGGCCTCTGTTGTGGACATAGCACAGCAAGCTTCCCCAGGCCTGCTGCACATTGACTGGACACTCTTCACAGTCAATACTACTGCAGTGAATATTCACGTGTCCCTGCCATCCCACAGAGGGACAGCCATACATTTACAGGATAAACAGATGATAGAGGTTGGGTGGGGGAGCCAGAGACTGCGTGAGTCTGTAGTTTTGGTGGGTTTGCCAGTTGTGTTCCCTAGGAATGGTTTTACTTTGTTACTCCACCAGCAGTGTGTGGAAATGCCGGCTTTCCTCAAAGCCTCCACAATAGACCGTAGTGTAGTAACCCTTTCCTTTCTACCACGCCCAGGCCAGCCCCGCGTGAAATACCGAGACGAAAGCTGCTGTAAATAGTTCTTTTGACATTTAGCAAAGGTGTGTGCAACCAGGCGTGGCTGTTTTTTACTTTGGTTTGGTTTTTGTGTTTGTTTGATTTTACTTTGGTTTGTTTTTATTTTGAGGAAGGGTCTTAGGTAGCCCAGGCTTTCCTTGAACTCAGTTCGTAGCCAAGGATGGAACTGAACTCATAATCCACTACCTCCATCAGCTAAGTGCTGGGATCATAGGCACACCCCAGCACACTTAGCCTCATTTATATTTTAGATTTTAAAATTCCAACCCAAAGATCTATGAATATTATTTTTCACTGTTGTTTGTGGGTTGATTCTTTAAATGTTTTGAAAGCTTCATCCCTAGTCTATTTGGAGTTCATTTTGATCCGTTTCCAGCAGCATTTAATACTTAGCAAGCATCAGTCTTTCCAAGGCTGGCTGAACATGCGCTGAGGGCTGATTGCCCTTTAGAAATGGCGTGAGCTCTGAGAAAACACGTTGGATAATTTTCCCCTCAATCATGGCCTTGGACGATAAGCTTTCCCAAGAGGGAATTTTATTATAAGAAGGGCCTTATCTCACAATGTCTTCGTCCTAATTTGAACCATTACTATTAGAGCTGAAGCCAAATTAAGTATAAGCGTTTTCACTCGAGCAAATCCGTGTTGGTAGAAAATATGACCTCAAGGCCTCCTGGGTGGCTGGCTATGCTCTGTGTGGTACCATGAGTTTATGTCACTTTCTAGCCGCATACACAGCGGTCATGATAATTCTAGTTGCCATTTTTCCTTCTGTGGGAAACTGATCTTTGATGGATAACCGTGTGAACTGGGAGCCTCTGAAGTTAAGCTCCTGAGCAAGCGTCAAGGGATAGAATTCGTAGTCTGACTGGATGCTGGCACTTGAACCGTCTCGCAATACAGTCTGCTGCACTGAGAACAAACATCCTTATCTTGGGCATCTGTTTTCGCTCACAAGGCCTGTGACCCCAGATATGCTGGCGTGTTCTCTGGACTCTGCCTTTCCTCTGCCCTGTCTCACTTCTGACATTCTGTATCCTGTTCAGTAACTAAAACACAGAAAAGAGGGGATTCTCTTTTCTAGAAGGGCGTTCCAGCTCCTACCCCTGCCAAGTTCTGCCTGGAGCTCAGGGAGATTGATATATTTATGAGGATTTGCATCTTGTTCTTCTGAATCAGCCAGGTTAATTGCAAAACATTGCAAGTTTTATCAGTTGTGTATTCCCCGTCTTCCTCTATTTAACAGTCAGCAGAAGAGCCAAATTAGATGTTTTCTGTTTTAGAATCTGAATTATTCAAAAAAAGAATCTGAATTATTTTCCATGTGTTAATGGAAAAGATAAAAATTAAAGAATTGTTTGCCTAATGTTTTGAGGATTTTTTTTAATCGATCTGTGATCAATTGAGGGGTTAAATGAGGAAGAGCCTAAAGCATTTTCATTCTGAAAAGCATGGTTTTAGAAATTCTCATTCTAAATAGGAAAGAAAGAGGGTTGTGAGCCCAAGTTCCAAGAATGGTCGAGATTATGCTTGCTTGTTTCACTGACACAGTCTCCTGTAGCCCAGGCTGGCCTTCAACTCAATATGAAGCTCAGGATGACCTTGAACTTCTGAGCCTCCCCTCTGCTTCCCAAGTTTTACGATTACGGGCGTACTGCTACTCCCCGTTTTGTTGTGTTTGTTTGTTTG